TGTATACTCCAGTAGCGTGGTGAAGGAGGTCTTGAAGGAACCTCAAACTACAGCAACACAGTCCATGGGTTGGGTGCCCCGCAGGTAGTGTAGCTTGCAAGTTGAGGCAGAGAAACCAGCTACGGCAGCCACACACTGGTCCATTCATCAAAGAGCAAGAGAACAAGAAAGGCAAGGATTGCCAAGCCATTTATCTCTCCGCCCTTCAATTAATCCCACAAGTGTTCATTGGCCAGGTTGGCACAATAAACCTACCTATCACAGGTAGGTTTGCCATTTCTTATGTTGCTTCTTCATTCTTTGATATGTTAGAGCAGCGGTTCTCAACCTGTGGGTCTTGACCCCTTTGGGGGTCGAACGACCCTTTCACAGGGGTCGCCTGATGCATAACAGTAGCAAAATTATAGTTATGAAGTAGCAACGAAATAATTTTATGGTTGGGGGTTACCACAACATGAGGAACTGTATGAAAGGGTCTGGGCATTAGGAAGGTTGAGAACCCCTGTGGTAGAGGAACCCCTGAAATATGGGAGTACGTGGCACCACTGATCTCCTGCCCAAGGTTTTAGTGCTAATATAGCTTCCTTATTTGATATTTCTCTGGCTGTTTCAAATGATTACATTTGAGTTGCCATCTTGTAAAAGTCACCTATATGTTAAGCAATAGTGCCAGCAATTTCTAATTTGTGGAATAATAATAAAACTCATTGCAAAGTTTATGCTGAAGAACTTGATTTCAGCCTGCCATGGCCGTGCTGCTTTAAGAGATCGTCAGTTAAAATCCAGTTACCAGCATATTGAAAAATACAGTGCAGTAGGACGTCAGCTTTAATGAGTGCTTAGGTCGTGCATGATGAACTTGCAGTGTGTCTGTCGATGGCATATTTCTCAGTGTGAAGGCTGGTTCTCTTACATGTGTTGGGTCTTTTCTGTCCACAAGACTATACAGATGTGAAACCTAAATTCTGCAGCGTAGACATGCTTTGTAAATCCCGAGCCTAGGCTCATTTGGGAAATAGGTATTCGTTATTTGCTTGCTAATACCCATTTTTGGAATGGTCAGATTTTTAACTACTGACCTGAGTTTTCTACCTTGGTGCTTTTTATTGTAAGCCATGAGTTAGATCCAGATTGGTGGCACAAGATTAAAAAATAGTATATAAAGTTTCCACTTGCGTTACTGATGTTGAAAAACGTTAATTAGCGAGCTAGCTAATTAAACTTGTAGCAAGTGTTGGTCTTCATTAAGAATGTTTCATTCAACTGGAATATTGCTGGCTATTTAACTCTCTTTACTATGAGTTGCCCTTAGAAGATTCAAAGTTTATGACCCGCTAACTCACTGTAATTATTTTATGTTAAAATGCATAGTGTTTAAAGAATATTTTATTCATCTAATAATCAGCTGCCCCTCTTCACCTTCAGCAGTTACTTACTGAAAAATTAGAGTATTGGTGAAGTTCTTTTTTCTTTTGGCCAACAGAGGTTTTGTTTTGCTGTTGTTGTAGGTAGTGATCAGGAATTCTCACTCACTGATTGCCGTCCAGTCGATTCAGGTTCACAGAGACCCATTAGGATGGGGTAGAACTGCCCCTATGGGTTTCCGAGACTGTAACTTCTTACAGGATTAGAAAGGCTCATCTTTCGCCTGTGGAGCACCTGGTGGTTTTGAACCGTGGACCTTGTTTGCAGCGTGGGATGCTGACAAAGTTTGCTGGAGAAGCAAGAAACCAGATAGGGGAATGTGGCATTTGCTCAACATGTTTTTTTCTATAGCAGAATTTCGTGAGTTAATATTGCATATACTTCATTATCTAAAGCATGATGTGTAGTAAGGGGAGATTTTCGTTCTCTTGTTCCTTCTAGTCCAGTATCAGTTTGATGTTTGTGGTAAAGAGAGGTTTTCTGTCTTGTGAACTGTTTTTTATTTATATTCAGTTTGAGAAGCAAGAATATCTGGTTAAGAAGTTCTATCTTCTTAAATGACGCACATGTCCATATAGAATCTCATGAAAGCTGCTGTGTGCTTTAGTTCCATTTTCTTGACTCTGAACTCAAATATGACTATAAAGTTCTTGAGAACAAACTCTAAGATTATAATGATATGAGTTCTGTGATGAACAATTGAAAAAAAAAATTGACTTCACTAAACAACCAGAAGGGACTCATTGATATGCAATGCTACCAATTCAAGATTTTTTTTAACTTAATAATAAAGAATTTCAAGTTATTTTAAGTAAAGGCACGAGGAGAGATCTTGTCACAGAGTTTATCAAGGCAGCTTTATAGTTGGCCGCAGGAGCCCAGGGCACTCAAGGTGCACATTCTGGCCACAGGACAAAGCTGCGGGCACTCCCAGGGACAGTTCTCTCTGTCCTGCAGGGTCACTATGCGTCAGCATCGACCCCATGGCAGGGAGTTGGCGTTTGTATAGTTGGGATCCCCGTTGTGTTTGTAGAAGGCAGCAAGGGGATGTGGTTAAAAGGAGCAGGGCAGGGTGGCTAGCCCGCTACCCTGTTGAGCAGCTTTGATTTTAAACAGTATTTGGAAGTTCTCGTTGCCTCTCCTCCCTGCCACATTCACTTGCCTGTGACTGCCGGCAGTAGGAGAAATGCCTGGACCACTCTTCATCCCAACTTCCCTCACTCCCAGGGAAAGCTGCTAGTGACAGCGTGCACTGCTGGACGTTTCCACCCATTATAATGTGCTTCTGTGTCTGCTGTAATTAAATAGCTAATGGGTATCTGTTGAATACATACGATGTACAAGCCATGCATTTTGTGTACGTGTTAAGCGATACGTAAAGATCACCCAGAACCTAACGCTGGACTCACTGCTTAAGAGTCAGCGCTGAGTCACTGCAACACCTGTGGGTTCCCGAGCTTGTAACTCCAGGGGAGTAGAAAGTCCAGTCTTTCTCCGGAGTTGCTGCTGGCGGTTTAGAACTGCCCACCATGTGGATCGCAGCCGAACTCATAGCCGCTACACCACCAGGCTCCTCTAAATATCACCCAGGGCTAGAGTTTAATCATTTGAGCACAAGAATTCAGATTTGGATTAGTAATTTAAAATTAGATTTAGATTGAATTCTAAAAAATGCTATAAACTAGAATGCCGCCAAATCTTTCCTCTGGAAAATGCTCCAGTTCTTTCCTTTCTCAAAACATGGGCTAATATTTCATGTGATAAAAAATTAGTGAGGAAGTGTTGGTTATTCAGATGGTTTGAAGCCCCCATGTGGTCGGCAGGTAGCACAATGAGTAACTGGCATCAGACTGCTACATCCTCATTCAACTACTTGCCAGTGAGAAATAATTTAATCCTTCTGAAATACTTAGCCCACTACCTGTCTATAAAGCCAGTTCACACCCAGTACC